CACACAAACACACACACACACACACACACACACACACACACACACACACACACACACACAAAGAACAGCAACACAAACTCTCGCTGTCTGGATTAATGCAAGGTCTGAGCTGGATGTCTTTGGCTGATAATGTGGAACCCAAAACACACTGGCAGTCAAAAAGACCTTCAGTGGCATTGATTCACACACACTTTAAGCGTTCCAGACACATGAACCTCATGGCACCTACATCAATGTATTAAATCAATAAATAATTCAAGAATACAATTCATGCCTTTATTGGACTGTCATCACCACCACTTTTGTTATTATGTGATGTTAGTTAGTGATGACAGCCACATCACTTATGAACATAAATTACGTTTTACTATCGTTTTACTATCATCACTACCATTTTACTATTATGGGATGTTAGGACAAGACTACAGGAATGCATGAATGATTAGTTATTTAGCCTGTGGTGTCTGTTGTGTTGAGGCCATGCAGAATCATGCTTAAATACTGATCTGTTTCAGAGGAAACATGCCCAACACTTACTCCCTCGTGAAGGACCTGGTCACAGGGGAATGGACCGGCGCCGTATACTCCTCCCACTCAGCTAGAGGCTTGATCTCCAAAGGGGCCGGCTTAACTGCAAAAATAACAAAATAAATCCATCAGTTTAATGCAGAAAAATTTTCCAAATGTTCCAGATCAGTATCACCCAAAGGTTTGGCCTAATACGTGGTTACTATCAACAAGATAAATAATATAAAAAAATAATAAATAAATTACAATAAAATTGAGTGAACAAATTTGTGTGTTCAAAGCCGAACAAAATTGTGTGTAAATTATTCATAGAAACATTTTTACATAAACTGTTGGAAGGAATTCAATGGGACAATTTGCTAATAAAGATTTACAAATATTTACACACAAATTTGCATGTAATTTAGATGGTGGTTCTCTACTTTTAGCCAGTAGAGGGCGATGTCTGCTATTTAGTACATAATTGGAGTCAGAAGTAACTAAGTCACCTTTCTTCAGTGGGACAAGCATGTTTCACTTCATTTTTTCCCACTTAACAACAGACTTAAATCCAATACAGGACCGAGTCACGAGAAATTAAATCAGACCTGAGAGAAAAGTGGAAAGGTTGAAAAGAAGGCCACCGCCAAAGGAAGGTCAAAAACTAGTGATAATCATACATATCCTCTTCACTTCCCCTTCTCACATATACGCAGCATCTGATTTAGTTCATTCAGCTGGCCCAAAACTCTGCTGAGCTGAGATACACCCAATCTGGCAACAGAGGATTAGCTGTAGCTGGCTGAAACGCACACCAGCTGGTGCCAGTGTTTGAGGGAAGAAAGCACAGACTGATATGCATCTCAAGGCCCTGAACTTGTGTGTGTGTGTGTGTGTGTGTATATATATATATACTCTATAGCGGCTGTGATTGCCTCCAGCACTCGGCCTGCGGCCTCGTGCCTCTGGCCTAATCACAGCCATGCTGATATAGAGCCAGTATCGCTCGAGTACGAGAGTGATATTGCTCATATATACATATACATATATACACACAAATCACAAAATGTATGATTTTATTTTTGATGTTTCAATTATTTATTTTTTTCTAGCCATCTTTGTACTGCTCTGATAGCATATCATTTAGCATTTCATCAGCAGTGAATGGGTGCCGTCAGAAGTCCAAAGAGTTGATAAACCCACTTGTGATGTTTTCACTGCAGACAATCCATTGGTGTGCAAGTTATGTAATGCTACATTTCTCCAAATCTGTTCCCATGAAAAAACAAAGTCATATACACCTTGGATGGCCTGAAGGTGAGTACATTTTAAGCAAATTTTCATTTTAGGGTGAACTATTCCTTTAAGCCTTATTATTATTATTTAGTATATTCGGTATTCAGACACCCTGATGGCAGATACAGTACCGTTCAACAGTTTGTGGTCAGTAAGACGTTTTTTTGTTGTTGTTTTTTTTTAACACTGGAGTAACGGCTGCTGTAAATCATCCATCAAAGGAATAAATTACATCTTAAAATGTGTTAAAATAGAAAACAGTTATTTGGAATACTAATAGTTTTTCACAATTTTACTGTTTTAACTGTTTTTTTTATCAAAAAAAAAAATGCAGCCTTGGTGATAATAAGAGAATTTCAAAAACATAAAAAAAAAACCTTAACAACCCCAAACTTTTGAAGAGCAGCCTATCTTTGGACTTCCTGATGGCAAACATATCCCGATGCCATTAAACAAAGCAGCATCAGGAAGCTCCCAAGATTTTATCCAGACACCTGGATTGCTCTTCACACCGTTAGTCATAATACGATTCATCCGCCCACTTTCAGCTCTCGTCAATATGACTCAAAAATGCTTATGCAAATGTGTTGGTTAAGTGTTTATAATGTTTATGACTCGTGGGTCAGTGAGCAGTATGACAGTGAAAGGTGTTTGTAGAGACACTGATGATTGAGTGTCAAATGTTAATCAGTTAGTTTAACCTGCGATATCAAGTGTGTTAGCTTCCCTCCATCAGTTAAGCACAAGCATCACTCTACCAGAACCTTAAAACCTCATCTATCAAATTAATTTGCTTAATAACCAGCTGAGCAATTTAAGTAATAAATCCAACAGCCTTCACAGGGACCGCAATCTGTGCACACAACAGACAATGCAACGGATAGGCAACAGCATCAGTGACTTAATTATAAAATATTTGAGTGGAAAGCCAAGTTCCTCCACACACTGCAGGTAGTGAATGTTTGTATGATAGGCTACATTCACACAGTCAGTGTTTGGGACTGGAAACCATATTTACAATGAATGGTGTCAAAGTAGCTTGAATACTCTCTCTGTATGAAAGAATAAGCAAAGTCAAGCCCCCTATTCTATGAAGGTGTAAATAATGCCTGTAACCAGAGTAACAGTTAATAAATGTTGAGTAATATATATGTCTTGAATTATGTGATCATTCTTAATGCATATTAATAAACTGAATCATGCAGTGAAATATCGCACTCTAAATGCGCACGCGCAATAAAGCCTGTGATGTCTACTTTAACCAGACGTCATCACGTCGCGTATGCACGCCTCTGTAGGTGTGTTTTGTTTGTTTTTACTCGATAATGTCATGATGTCTCACGAGTTCAGTATTTGCGCTCGCATTTGGCGGGTTGGCGGGTGTTAATTTCAAACCCTGTATATGGTTATAAGTCCAGAACATTTAAGGAAGTGTATTTGAGTATAAAATGTGGTTGTCACTTTCATTTATAACATATGTGTAAAAAGAACTACATTGAGCACTCTAAAATATGAGTACCAGGAATACACTGATATAACCTTTTTCATGTTATGGCCGATAACCAATAAATGGCTGATATTAATAATATTGAAAATTTGCATCAATATATATTTTGTCTAATTAAATTATAAATGTGCAATATTAAAAAAATTATAGTTTGATCAATTAATTATAATAAATAATAATTATTTTATATTTTATCCAAATAAATTCTAAAATTTTAAAAAAGGTCCCTAGTTAGAACCATATTTTTCTGCTGCGAGAAAATAGCCAAATTCTCAGTTTGTAAGTCACTTATATCATGGACTTGACAGCTGTGAATCAAAAATGCAGTGAGGGCCAGTTTTTTTATTAAATTTGATTTGTTCTATTACTGTATTCAATGTGTCATTCACAATTAGAGCTTATTGAAATTACACCTCAGAACTGAGGAGGTACACAGTGAGAGTAGCATTCTGTCGAGGTACGTACCCTTACGCCGTCTTGAGAATTCACCTATGGTTTGGGAGTCGGTTCGCTCAAGACCGACTGCTCTGTTTATTTTAGGGCTCTGACCTGAATTGGTGAGAGAAAACTTCTTTGTTACATGTCTCCTTTGAAAGAATCGGCCTTGTCTTCTTCTAAACTTCACACCCATGCAATTTAGCCTTGATCACTCGTGCCTCTTCTCTTTCGCCGAACAGATATGTGTTGGGCTGCTGCCATGGCAACAACTCTTCATGCATTTAAGACATGCGATGAACAAGGCTTCCCCACAAAGACGAGACATGCACAGGGTTAAACAGACACACGTGGGTGAGTAAAGCATAAACACCAACCGACGACACGCCAGCATGTGGCTCAGCCAGACAGAAGGGTTCAGTAATGTCTATGTAATATTAGAAAAATTAAACCAACATATTTTTTCTGCTATATGCATATAGCTGCCACAAGAAAATACCACAAGTCAACAGTAATGATGGCCACAATTAAACAACAGGCCAAAAGAGCAGAATATCACAATGATTTCTAAGACTGAAGGAGATGTGAGTGTTCAGGTTAAAAGTGTGATACAGGAAGAGATAGAAACCAGACAGAACAGAAACTAATATTTAAACCTATATAGAGTAGCCACTAAAAAGATAGAGAGAGGACAAACAAACTAAGACACAACATGTACCCAACAACTGCCTTTAAAATGCCACCAAAGCTGTTTGAATCACACCATGTTCAGAAAAAGCTTGCAAATACACAACAAATACAATAAGCTGTGGTCTGAAGAGCAGTAGAAATGACACTGGACATTTGAGAATGACATGAAAACAGTGAGTATTGTGCTTGGCCCATGTTTAGAAAATAGAAAAATTATTTTAAAGAAGACCTATTTCATTACTCTACATGCACTACTTGGCCAATAAGCTGTATGTAAACTTGGCCAATAAGAAAACTTTGCCAATAAAATGTATGTGGCAGATTATGGTCTGATTGACTGAGCCAATCTTCGGAGCTAATTATTGAGTCACATGACTTTGATGCACATCAAGCTATTTATTTGGTCAGTGTGTTTTATAGTAGTTTATAACTTACAGATTAAGTAATTATTAAGTAATTTACAACATGTACTTACTATAGGGTTAGGGTTGGGTTTAGGATTAGTTTCTTGTAATTATGTATACTTTAATGGAATTACTATAGTAAGTACATGTAACAAAGGTTTTCATTCTTTATTTATTATGTTGTATTGTTCTTTTGTTTTTGTTTATTATTTTGATAT